TGCAGTTTGCGCAAGGCGTGAGGCTCACGCATCTGAAGAAAAGAGGAAAATCTGTCAATTGACGTGGTTCTCACAAGAGACTTGTTGACATTGGTAAGGTGGACAAACTTCCGGACCAGTGGAGTACTGCAACCCTTCGGGTGCACCGCACATGTGTTGACGTAAAGAATGGTTTTGGAGCGAACGGAGCTATGCAGCTTTTAGAGCCTGACGATTTGGAGTAGCGTGTGGGCTTGCAAAGCCATATGACTTGAACAAATGCAGAAGAGTGTTTATATTGTAAGTGTCATTTTGCTCAGTTGCACAGCTACTTTTTGTCCCACCTGGCTTTTTTGTCCCGCTTGGCTGCACTCGCTAGTCACTAGTCACACATAGCCCGTGAAGTTTCCCAAAGTTATAAAGTGGCAAAGCTCACACCGTTTACGGTTCAGTCATATTCTGGAAAGCAATACCTCTTTTCAGGGGTTCCAAGAGCAACTCCCATCTCTGAACATGTTTGTTTATTTTGAGGTTTTGCTGATTGAGACATTTTTTTGCGGGCAAGAGGTACTTGCTGAACACATGACAAAAGAAACTGGCTTGGGCATGAAAACACTCACATTTTTGGTTCACTCCAAGCTTTTACCATGTGAGGCCATGTATCGCTTTGGTGCCGATTCAGGAACCTTTGAGAAGGACCGCTTGCAAAGAGGGGATCCGTAGCGCTTCTTTTTGGCATATTTTTTCCGCAACATGTTTGTACGTTTAAGCTCTTCTCCTCTTCTCCTTTAGGAGTGGAGATATTGGAGGCATTTGATGTCCTCAAAACCGGAACCTGCGACCGTTTGCTTCCCAGGACTGGGCCTCTGTTTTTCTGCGCGAGCGATCAAGGCGCTTGGAAAGAGAGGCTCAACAGACCTTGCAGGCGATCAGAGCGACCGCCAGCGACCGCTCCTCAAAAAAAATGACCGTTTTGGGCTCAAAGATGAATTAAAGGCATGTATATGTTTTACACCTTCGTGCGTTGGGTGATCATATACCATACCGACCACAACTCTCAAATGCACTCTCGGAGGTGCTGAAGGAGCAGGATAGCCTTGATCTGGTGACTCGCCATACATACGGCAGCGGGTGGGTGAGTTTGCTGGAACGTCCAGTGGTAGGTGACTAAGCCCCCTGCCCTCGAGCAGCATTTGCTAAAGCTTTCTTGAAAGTCTTTCTGAATCTGAAAACCACTCCAGCCACTTGAAAGCCTTTCTTGAAAGTTCTTTCTGTTTGCTAAAGCTTTCTTGAAAGTTTCTGGTGGCTTGAGAACTGTGGCTGTAGTGGATTGGAACTCAGAGCCCCGCCGAGTTGCAGCTGGGCCGGCGGCGCAAACACCTGACGGATGGCGGAGCCGTCCATGCAAGAAGTATCTTCGAGGCGGACGTCTTTGGGCTTCTGACGGTGTAAGCGGGGGTCGTTTGGACAAGATCTGTGGGTGGGGAGGTACTGTATTCAGTTGTGTTGTGTATTTTTTGACATCGATATATCATGAAGTATTCTTCAGAGAGGAGTTGTAGTGTTGGGACATTTTCCTCCCATTTGTTGAGTCTTTCGCAAAGTCTAGCCACGCATCCCAACTAAGATCGAGAAAGAGCATTGTTTCCCTCGTAAAACGGCTGCTTTGTATCCATCCGGCCCAAACAACCCCCAAGCGAATCCTAAATGACCCCTAGGTCTAAACAAACCCTAACGACCTCAGTCAACCCCAAGCAAACTTGTGAAGGAGCAACATAATAAAAGACATGCACTAAGACTAAAACAGAGAGATGATTTTTGTAGAATATTATTACTAATAGACTTAATAGACTTCCATTCATTCGTATCTTGGAAGACACCTAAACAATCCCTAAGCACACCGTAAACATAGATCGATGGAGATTGATGGCTCGAATGCTTTGCCTGTAAGTCCAACGAGTCTCATTTTGGACAGAATCATTTTATTGTAAATGAACTCAAGGCAGCAACAAGTGGCAGCAACCATATTACTTTTGAGGTGTTCAGCCTTCAAAGTTTCGTGACATGCACCGATTCTTTCCGCTGTGCATCAGAAAGCTTTAGCTTCTGGCAGCATCCAAACTACACAAGGATGCGGCGCTTAATTGGATAAGAGGTATACTTACATTCCGGACATTTAAGCTCCAACTTCAAGAGTACGTTTCCACCACAAGCGGATCGTGATGGTCTGTCGCCTGTCTACCTTCAGTTGATGTTTGGGAGGTCACTGGGGCAGAAGCCTTTAAGCTCTTGGACAAGAACAATGACGGGCGTTTGGACAAGGAGGTGCAAAGACCTTAGGGGAGGGATTGCTTTGGGCAAACGTATGTAAACAGATTCCAAGCTCCCTGACTACGATAGGTCCCAACGCTGAGACCATCAGTCCTGAAGGGGTTGAGTTCGCTTTCATCGGATTTGGGGTATCTGCAATATCCCAATCCCCCAGCCGAGCCTCCCAGGACTCGGAGGTCGATTCGTTGGAACTGGGAGGAGGACTCCGTGAGACTCGTGTGAGACGGCCTTGCAGGAATTTGAAGAGGCCTTGCAGGAGCAGTTGGCGAGCAACTCTGATAGCCCAGACATTGAGGAGTTAAGGCCTGAAAGAGCGATGGCCACAGTGATGGGTCTGGGACATGAGGCACACTGTGCGCCTTCCAACCCTCCTCCAGCTTTCTCGAGGCAAAGCCAAGCACAAGAAAGGCCAACCAAAAGGGCCTTTTGGGCCACGCAACCTTCGTAACCAAAGTCTGAAGAGAAGTGGAAGACCAGGGTTACGAAAACAGAAGACTCTGAAGTAGAAGACCCGGGTTACAATGTCTCTCCGGGTTTGGAGATTGCTCTTTAAGACCCGGAAAGAGAAGACCCCAGAACCATCTCCAAGCCTTTTCCGATCCTTCACGTCAGGGAGAGGCCAGATCTCACTCTCCTGCTGGTCCGCGTTTGGGAGGCCAGGCACCGTCCTCACCGATGGTGTGGTTTCTTGTTTTCAAACTGTTCGGTGAAGAGTTGACCGGAATGTTCAGGTCAAATGGCGGACACCCGCTGCATACGGGTCCCTGCATTTCGTGTCGCACTTCGCTGCTTTGGACTTGTGTGATGTAGTTCTTGTATTGCTTCTTGGCTTCAATTCGGCGTGTTTGCTGTTCCAAACAATTGTACTTTACATATGATGGCGGTACATACCCATCAACTTCGGATACTCCGTTCGCTTACCGGAGGCCCTCTTCGATAGAGGTGCGGCTTCGAGACAGTGCGCAGGCTAATCGAAGCCCGGAAACCATTATAGAGGGTTGGTTGATATGCCTTGTAGCTGTATTCGTATATGTTCCTCTCTTTGCCACCCTCCTTTGAATTGACCTGGCCAGGGCGTGTGGTCGGAGGTGATATGCTTCCTCAAGCACCTTGGAGGCCAAAATGCAGAGACCGCAAGATTCATGGCCACTTGGGACTCCAAAAACTCTTTCGCTTGGACATCATCGGCACAAATCATTCTGACTTTGCATGGGTTCCAGTGAATCGGCAAGAGTATTGTCGCATACTCAGATGAAGCACGAGCTAATTTGGGATGAAGAGATATGCCACAAGTTTTTCCACCAAAAAAGAATCTCAACACCTTTCTCAAGACTGCATAAACCTCCAAGAGTTTCTCTGGGATACTTTTTTTAGGCTTGCTGTATCCCCTGGTACCCATGGTTTTTAGGAGAAAGGGAAAACGAGCAGCCCAGCTAAGTCACTCAAAACCAGCGTAGGGCACCAACTCAGGCACCAAAGAAGTGGCCTCATCGCTTCAATTTCTGAGGTACTTCATAGGTTGGAGGCCATCGCTATTAGGTTGGAGGCCATTCATTACTACTAGTAACAAGAAGCTACTAGTAACTAGTAACTACACATGAAGTGACACATGTCATCAGCCCACATTATATCTGTCACTGAGGTACTTCATGAAGGGCCATCAGCTCCATGTCGGTGGTGGAGTTGGGCTTTCGCATCCTCCCATCGTGGTGCTGAGCACCTCGGAAGCCCCGCGGGACCTCATCGAGCCACTTCATCGCAAGGCGCAATTTGTAGTGGTTCCCCCCCTTGTTGTTTTGAACGCTCCACTTCCATCCACTTCCTGCATACCTCTTCGATCTTCTTCCAAACAAAGGTCTTTCATGATGTTCTGTCTTCAGAATAGATGAGGTATCTGCAGGTATCTCCACCGTGTGTTGTCTCGTAGCTCAGGCAATGGGAGTCCAAGACCTGTTGCTTTGTGAAGGGTGACGTCTTGAACACTCGGAACTTGACCGGTGCTGGAATCAGGAGGGTGCACCAGCCTGGTGTTCCAGTCGAAGAAACGACAGCGAGATTGGTCTTGGACTACCTGGTGCTCGGTCTGAAAGTTGAAATGCACTATGTGTCTCAATCCATCTTGATCTTACTGTCCTTGAAGAAGAGCACCTTGCTGCTTCCATAAGGTCTTAGTTCGTTCGCATGTGCCCCTTCATGTCGTTGGCACACCTAGACACCTGCGGCGCCACACACATTGCGACTCGCAGGAATGCGGCCAGCATCATCTCCATCGGTCGAAAGGCTCCACATGGTCCGTTGATGATTTGATTGGGAGAAGGCTACTTGACCTTCCACTCTCCATGCTTTGATCCAAGGACTATTGCCCAGGGCTTTTCGTTCAAAGTTCACAAATTCGATCGCCATAGTGAAGTAGCATCAAACAAGGCAACTCTCAGGGATGAATGTGGAAGACAGCTGGGACCCTTTTTTTTCATTGGCAGCCCAGAGATGTTTTATTCACATGTAGATACATGTATTCTCACAAAAAGAGGGAGCCCGTGCAGGGAGTCGTTGTCATAAAGTAATTTAAATGTATTTTCTACTGTTTGAGAGATTCGATAGATTCACCACTTCATCAACGAACAAGTCAGAATTTGTCTCGGAAAGATAGGGACTTTCATAGCCAGCAGGTCTTGCCCAAAGACAGCAGCATGCCGGATGCAGCCTTGGGTGACTCTGACTGCGTGGAGTTGTGCGGCGCCGTAGATCAGGCAGAGCTTGACCAAAGACCGATGTGAGAGGTCCGGCAATCGATGCAGCATGAGCTTCTAGACAAACCAATTGGACAAACACACTTAGTTGGATTCCAACCTGAGATCCTCAGCCTGGTGCTACGCCTTTTCCATCCTTTTATGTCTAACATCTCGCACTCTGAGCTATGTCTTCTTGAGTGATGACATCGGAGCCAGCTGTGAGGCTCTCGACGCGAACAGCAGAAACCGTGGCCAGCTCCAACTCTTTGAGTTTAGCTTCACACAATCAGCCACTTGGATTTTTAGCTTCAAGGCTTGCTCAAAGAAGAACTGCAAAGGCTTTAGAAAGAGAGAGAGAGAGAGACATAGTGTAAACAAGTAAGTGGTTATATATACTGTATATAATATAGATTTAAAAAATATAATATAAATTGATAACACACATATATATATATATATTTATAGCAGCTGCAGAGTTAGTGCAAAACCCTGGATGTCTTCGTGGAACCCTCACCGGCTGCAGGTCTTCCTCATGTCGCGCATTGAGAGGCCGACAAAGCCATGAGTTGGGCGTGTTGGTCTCGCCAGAGTGTTGTCCTCCGAAGTTCACGAGCAGAGAACAGAACACCTTGGCAAGATCGTTTATGATTTGGCAGAGTCCCGGTGCAAAGGCCCCGCGTGATATATCTTTGAGGCTTCGATGCTGCAAGGCTTGGTTGTGCTTTTTTTTCCATGACCAAGCCACGCTGGTGTATGGGGAAGCCTCTGGCCTTGGGGAAGACACTGGCCCTTCTCGTTCCGAGTAGTGGTTGTTACACTCCCCCACGGGCCACCATCAAACCGACTTCCTGGGCAACCACTTCCTGGGCCTTCGGCCCTGGTGGCACGGTGAGTAATCGTGAGCAATCCCGGCAGGAATTCCTTGAAGCAGCATTCCAAGACCCGAGTCTTCATCTCCGAGGGCTGCGACTCGAGCAGCGAGGCGGCCCCGCGCGTTTCGGACACCGTTTTCGGGAGTTCTGCGGCCCGGGCCGCAGGGCTTCCTCGTTGAATGGATTTGTGAAAGAGAGGGTAGATTCCTTGTTCTTTCAAATTTTGAATGGGAGGGACATCGTTCTATGTTTAAATTTTCTTGTTTTTGGTCCCTCCCAGATTGGCCTGAAAGATCCCTGCCTGACAGGTGCAAGAGCAAGAGGTCCAGAGCCACGACACATATGTGGACAAGGTGCTTCGTGAGAATCCAAATCATGCCGAGTATTCTCCCCCACTATATAGCAAAGTAGCCACATTGTCAAAGGAAGAATAATCTCCCCAACCAACAGGCATTAGTTTCTTGCCGAACATAGGTTCTGGTTCTGGTTCTGTCCTGCACATGCACTTGACCATTGAACCGTCTCGTACTGTGTCCAATGCAGGAGATGCTTATTCTCAACGAGAGCTTCGCAGCCACTCAAGCGGAATCTAGAGGGCATTGTCCATCAAGTTGATGGAAAGGGAGGTGAGCTTGCACCTACAGAAGATGATCTAGTTCTAGTGACTGCCTTCTTTCAGAGCCTTGGTAGGAACGGCCTGAAGGTATTCAGGTACTCCAAACATTTACCCGCATGCCCTACAGACACATTCATGATTCATGATTTACCGGAGCCTCTTCCACACTGAATGAAGGACCCATCGGTCTCCATCGACCATCGACCGGACGACCGGTGTTTCGACCCATCGACGGCCTGGCGGAAGAGCGGTCACGCGACGGTCACGACCGGACGAAAGGCTGGGCAAGCTTTCACCTTGGACTTCTTTGGAGGTCTCTTCGGGCGGATCCACAGGCTCCTGCCATGGAAAGCACATGAAAGCACCGGGTGCATCTTGAAAAGCACCGACTCTGGTGCCACTTCATGGAAGGATTGGACCAATGTGTTCATGGATGTTCGCAAATGCGAGACGGTTCGTGATTCCCACGCTCGATGTGTTCCGCATCATTCTTTGTTGAATGGGTGGAGAACTGATCTTTCACAGCAGGTTTCCCGCTGCGATTGAGTTCCTCCATGCGATTGTGAGCCCGGAAGAGGGGCAGCACAAGTCTCGGCTTTGGCAGGCCACCTGAGACTGGTTGCTTGTTTCATTCCAGCTTGCAGTTTGGCAGTCAGATGAAGTCACATTGGTCAAGACTACGTTCTTTCGTGATCAGGGCATGTTCCATTTAAACTCTACACGCGAATGGTTTGGAGAATGAATTCTCTGCCCAGCGCTCACCGATCCCCCCAAGCCTCCCCCCGCCGACCGATCCGCACCACGACCTGAACGCGGTTCCGCCGGCAGACCAAGTGCCCGCTCACCTGGGTGGACCGGAGCTTCGGAGAGTTGGTGCAAGCACTGGCGACCTGGGCGAGCACAGACCTGGGTTGAGCGAAAGGCTGAGGAGAATTGTTGAGAGGTCATCTTTTTGGTTGGCACAGTGCTGAGCTGTAGGGGTTCTTCTTCCTGTATCTTTCCCCAAACAGTTTACTGTTGGGGTTCTATCTTAGAAAAAAGAGCTGGCCACACTGACTGGCCGCGCCCCTGAACTCTGTGGCCGGGCTTTGTGTCCTGGCTCTGTGGCCGGGTCTTGTCCTCCTTTTGTCCTGCTGTTGTCCTTCTCTTGTCCTCTGGCCGTACTGACCAGCCCTGGACACACTGACTGGCCGCGCCCCTTAACTCTGTGGCCGGGTCTTGTTCTCCTCTTGTCTTCTCTTGTCCTGCTCTTCTCTTGTCTTCTCTTGTGGCCAAACAGTTAGCGATGTCGATGCCGACAAAAATCATTGATAAAGCAGTTTGCTCTTGGGTGGAAAGGTAGGGCGTGCCAAGAAATTGTTTTTGACTAATTTTGGTCCGAACGAATCGTTTTGAAGCTGCTTGGGGTCTATGCTGGTATAATTTGGGCAGAAGATGTTCTTGATGTTGTGCAGAAGTGGATATTCCTTTCTGTTTAGATCTCTAAAATCTCTGTTTGGAGGGTCGGAAGAGCAACGCTATACACAAAGGATCCAGCAGCTCAACATCCTGAGATCTGCCGGCTTTCCAGTCACCGGGTCTCCTACCAAGGTGACTGGCAATGGGGGTGAGGTGCGCTAGCGAGCTCCGAAATCGTTTCAAACAATGATTGTTGGTGGTCCAGGGAGGAGCTTTCGCTGTTCCAACAGAACACATCTTGCCCGTAGAATAGCAATCCCCTTCATCCACCAAAGCACGAGCAGGCTAGTGACTAGTGCTGGTCAAGGATGGGAGGGTATTGTTCGGGAGGTAGGTCCAGACAATCAACCTACCAAGGCAACATTCCAAGTCAGCCAACTATCATGAAGTTGCCAACCCACCCACCAATCCACCAACGAATCCGATGGCCAGACCAAACCAGGCCAGACGAACCAAGGCGACGGAGTTCACGAGTCGAAGTCTTCGCGATCTTTTTTCCGCCCGGGGAGGCCTTTGGTCACTTCAAGGGCTGCTCGATCCCAGTGGCACTCTATCGAGAAAGCCGTGGGTCGGGGGCCAAGCGTTCGCTGCTTCAGAATTGCTGTGATCAAACTGATTTAATCAATGGTTTTGATAGGGCTAGTGGGGTACGGGACATCTATTTTGGCAATTGGAACGTAAAAAAAGTGCAGTTCAGTGAGCATTTCATGATTGAAGGATAGCATGAGTTTGTTGCCACCATCGTGAGTGTGTAGCCGGTGTACCCTCCTAATCGTTGTGTTCTTGTCTCATCCATTCCCATTTCCGACTGGAACGTTGCCAGACGGGCCATCCGAAGATTGCTCATCCGACAGAGGCGCCACTTGCCTGACAGCTGTGCGGGCTTCAACTTCACGGGACCGCCGATGAACACGAAGCTTGAGGTGGGTCCACCCTGAGCAAGCAAGCAAGATGATGATGGCTATTAACAATTTTTAATATAGGTATATATTGTTATTGCTATAATATGTATGAACCGAGGGCTATTCTTTTTTTTCGATCTGCTTCTTACTGCTTTTCTTGCTTTTCCTCGCTTCTTTGTGACCTCTCCTGCTTTTCCTTGCTTCTCATTGCTTTTCTGCGGTTGCTCCCGCTTTTCTTGCTTTTCCTTGCTTTTCATTGCTTCTTTGTGAATGCTTTTTGTTCTTACTTTTCCTGCTCCCTTTGCGCTTGGCTTGTTCTTCCTGGCTTTTCTCCTTTACTTTCCTTCTTTTTTGTTTTTTGTGGCGTATTGATTCCCGATCGTAATGGCTTTTTCTTTCTACGGTCTTTGTTGCTTTCGCTTTTGGTAAGTTGGTTTTCAATCCTTGAATTCGTTTTGCTTTATGCTTGCATATGCTCGCTTTTCTGGCTTTGTATGCTTTTCCCACTCTTTGTTTGGCCCACTGGTGGTTGTGTTTTAGTTCACCTTAAGGAACAACCCAAGCGCATCATATGAACAACACTCTTTCATTGTGGGAGCAGCTGTACTGGGTACAGATCACATAGGAGTTAAGGCGTCAAGTCACAAAAGGAATATAGTCGGGTAAGTCCTATGTCATATCAAAAAGGTGTTGGCACCTAACCGTTAGATGACTATAGGTAGAGCAGGACGAGATAGAACTTGTGGCACCGCTTAAAGAGCAGCCTTGTATTGGGCTGCATGGGGAATCTGGCGATGTCTGGCATTGTTATCTTCCTTTTGATTCTGTTTGCTTGATGACATGGGATTTATACGCTCCGGACCCGGACACAAAGGGGACAAGACAGATGACTTGGCAAGTGTGAGTTGCCATTTATGTTTTCTAAATCCCATGTAATCCGAAGGTAGTGAGGTAGTCTAGCCTAGCTTTTCAGTTCCACTGAAGGAACTATAGAGAAACCACGACCGCACCAAAAATTCCCAAACGCACCGCTTTTCCAGTTCCACTGAACAAACTGTAGAGAAACCACGAGCGCAAAAAAAAAACCAACACGCAACAAACACAATCCCCAAACAGCTAGGTTTCATTTTGTTCCCCAACAGCGAAGCTTTAGAGGTCTTCAGCTAAAGTATAGACTTTGGAGCAGATCGGAGCAAGCTCCGGAGCAGGTTCCGGAGAAATAAAGTTCCGGAGCAGGTTCCGGAGCAGGTTCCGGAGGAGGTTTGGGACCAATCAGCCGAAAGCTGTTAAGCAGCATCACCGCCGATGTCCGATTCACAATGTAGGCCAACCATGAACTCAGCAGCGAAACCGGCCACGGTGCCCTCGTCACTGTTTCCTTGATTCGAATGGGTGTCTCCACATGGTTGATCTCCATAGGCAACGATAAGGTCCACCTAGTGATCAACGCTTCAAGTTTCTTGAGAAGTTAGTCGGGTTTTTTCCATTCAGCAATGGAGCTCAACAGCTCAGATGAGCATCCTCGGTCGCAAGAGCAACCCCCACTATCAGGATGTATGAACAGCTTGCCACAAGTTCGGAGCGCCTTGCAGATATACGACGGCGTATATAGTGCTCACACGTCACGATGCAGGCCTTGTGTCATGCTTGCTGACATGTTGACATGCCATCAGACTACCGTGTGGCGTTTCCTGACCTGCCAATAATCGTGCTGTTACCTCTGACGCGCTGAGTTGTTGCCAGGCCGACAGGCTGACGACATGGTGCCATGTTGGTGTGCTGTGCATGTAGAATGCTGTCATGCAGAAGTGTGTAGACACGTTGTTGCGGCGCATGATTGTCATTGTTACGCTGATATGCCGGCGTGGTGTTACACTGGCACCTTCGGGTTGTCGTGCTGACATATTGTCATACTGGCACGGGCCACGCCAACATGCTAACAAGTTGTTGCGTTGGGATGCGGCAATTGGGCCATGTTGGAAAGCAGTAGTGTAAAACAAACACACGCCACTTGTTAATATCTTGCCCACTTCGCAAACATATCAACAGACACCAAATGTTGCCATTACTAAGTCAGCAAATTCATGCCCAGCTCTTAGGGATTTCTCTTGGGTTTATGTAGTTTTGGCTTTGCAAGGCTGTCATCCTTCATTTTGCTTGATCCATGATTTCGTTGGGTCTCAAACCCCAAAAAGATTATCCTTTGGATTTTTGTCGGCATTCCACACTGAGGAGGAGGACTTCATCACCATTCTGGGCGAAATGGCCTGTGAAAACTCTGGCGCTGCCATCAAGGTGACAGAGCTGCCATGAGTGAATGTTTTGGATGGGCATGTACAGGTTGTAGCCCCACAACAACCCACCAACAGCTGGGAACCCGTGTGAGTCGACCATGTCATGTGTGTAGTGGGGTATCCGTCAAACACCGGAGAGCCGCACCGCGCTTTCGGAAGGGCCCTGGGGATGGGGTTCGGACAAAGATTCATTCCTTTCATCACCGGCTTCAAAAGTCCCGGAACATGCTTTAATAACTTTAATGAAAGAAATGCTGTTCTTTCCCCCTTTTCACCGTCTTTAATTTCACCTTCCTTTGCAATCTTCAGGGTAGATTTGTGATCCGTAACATCATCAGTTCTTTTCCGACTGCATGTCCATATTTGACGAGAGAGACTGTCAACTCAATGATCAGCTCCTATATATAATGTATATATATATATAGTGATTGATGATTTGGTTCGCTTGGCCTAGCAGACCTTACGGTCGTATGGTCGAAGGTCGACGGACTCTAAAGACTCCAAGACAGAAACAAGACCACGACTCCATAGGACCAAGACAGTTTGTTTCAGCTTGCTTTTGCATTTGAAGCTAGAGGACAGTGAAGAGCTATTTCAACTGCATGTGTTCATTCGATTCATTCCCTGACAGGAAGCCTTCGGTGAGACGAGAGAGAACACGGTGGCTTGGCCATCCATCATGTGGTCGTTCGCCAAGGAAGACAACTTCTTGGAGTCGACACGTCGGGGATGTTCTCGTTGGTCATGTCCCCAAAGTGGACTCCCTTTTGCTGCCACAACGATAGTTGACTCCCTCATGCGGAAAAAGAGGGTTACTTACTTGATGCTTCTTGTTCAGGGGAACCCCCCCAGTGGTTGTCACGAGGAGGAATCTGCGACCATTTTGATGAAAGATTGTGTACCGAATTTCTCCGAGGCTGACTTGCTCATGCAGCTCGATGGCTCGCTGAAACTGTGAGGACGATGGGATGAGCAGGATGCAGATCTGATTTCAATTTTGTACCATACCAGTGGATGAGGACCAGACTTTAGGGTCAATCGATGTCTATGGATGTCAATGGATGTCAATGGTGGTCAAACTGGTCAAAGGTCAAGTATGGAGTTTCAATTCTTTTGTCAAGGGCTGGGGCTGCGGTTTTAGCCACAGTTTAGACGCTTTTTGGATCTTTTTGGGGTGCACAGGTGAGAACTTTGCCAGGACATCACTGACACCATCAGCCATGAATCCTTGGGTGCTATGGTTAGCTTTCTACATGCTCAAACGAGGAGATGCGGCTGATGGGGGGTAGAGTCATGGAGTAAACATATCACAGTTTATCCGATATCAACTCTTTTTTTGGTGTGTGTGAGAGAGAGAGGCGAATTGCACCTTAAGAATCTTAAGTTCAATTCCAGCTCTCCAAACTAGTCTTTTAGATCTTTCCAATGTGGCCAAAGGTGCCAAGTCATCATAGCGATCGAGCAAAAGTGGCTTGATTGAAATCTCACCTGGTGAAATCACCAACCGGTTGAGACTCCAGACTTGGGCAAAACCAATCTGGGGGATGGTGAAAAATCATCATCATTTAGGGTTTGAAGACTGTGTGCAATTACATGTGATTGCATGCCGCGCCCGTGAAAGAAGCACCACGTCTGATCAGTCGCCACGTCGCTCCAAGACTCGTATGGATCCAAGACTCGGACATTTCCTGGAGAAGAAACTCGGGGTATCGGAGCTAGGAGCGATCGGACGCTTACTAGTAGCTCCTGGCCTTACTACTAGGAACAAGAAGCTACTAAGAACAAGGGCATCGCTACTAGGAGCAAGGACGCTACTAGGGGCTCCTGGCCTAGGAACAAGGACATGGTTGTTTCGGATGAAATGACGTCGTTTCACCCGCTGGGTCCACAACTCGGGAGGCCAGCGTTTCCCGCGGCACAGCGCAGTTCTTCGGAGAGAAGGCACCGCATGGGCGATTGCGCTCCGCCCACTTTGGGCGGAAGGATCCTTACTCCGAAATGAGAGGAAGACAGATGAAAGCAGCGCTAAGCCGCTAAGCCGTGCTGCGCAGACTCTTTTTGAGGCGTTGCTGGAGAATGAGAAGCGAGGTGCCACAGTCCTCGTGACTTGTCATACAATGTGAGCATTTCATCATTGTGTTAGAACCGATCGCACATTGCCCATACATGGCCCATATGTCTCACGTGAGCACTTCAGGTGAAGTCCAAGACAGCCAAGTGCTTGGTCTTGGATCGCGAGTCCTTTGACTTTTTGCTTGGACCCTTGAGCGATATCATCCAGGCACGGAGACTACATTGAATGCACGCCTTTCTTTGCATGAGTTCACCCCACTGACGACCGCACTCCTCCACAGGGCCAGCGCGAGAACAAGAGGGCTGTGCCAGGAGCTGATGGTGGTGACATTTGCCGCGGCAAGCCTGGCAGCCCAGTTCAACTTACCTTTCACAGCCATGGAATGATCCTGGCAAGCAGAGGATGCAGCTGTCTGCAGCACCACTGAAAGAGTTCAGCAGAAAATGTCCTTTTGACCAGAAAACCTTTGGAACCTGCCGACCCTCGTGCTGCGCGAGGAAAGACCAACAAGCAATCCTTGGACAAGGAGGCTAAGTCTCATACCACGATTTGACTCCAAAGACACATGGTGCTGAAATACTCATGCACACATATGACATTACATGTAAGGGCTGCAAGGACACAAACACCAAAGCTAACCGGTACACCTTTGGGTCCCGCAAGTATAATTTCCTTGGTGGACTCTAATCAAAGCAAGCACACTGCCCAAGTGCAATTCACTAAGGATCAAACGACACGACTTGCAGCGTGTGGGCCAGTGCCCCAGTGGATGTGCCTACTGCAAAGGTTGCAAGGGGAGGTCGTATCACTTTGACTTTGAGATCGGTTTGTGAGATATTGATTACTCTCAATTGGGACTGGCTGAATCCGCAGCATTTCATGAATACTTTTCGGTTCTCCTCACATGTTATGAATACACTCCTGAATACACTTCTCAATGCTTGATCCGTTCTTGAATACACAAACATCAGCTCCAAACTCCTTCAGCTTCAAACTCATGGTCTACCACGAGGCTTGCTGGGCTGTGGTGGCTTCGGCACGGTGGAACTCTGGGAGCACAAAGGCGCCAGCGGCGTGAGTTGAAGCATGCCGAAGCTGCCAAGTGAGACACTCCAATACTGAATGAGTAAGTTTAAAATATATTCTTCCTGTTTGAGGTTCTTTTCACGAAAGGTAGCCCTTTAGGGCATACCTTGAGTTTGACTTGCGAAGCAAGTGTCGGCGAGTCCGGGTCTAATAATTGATCATTCAATTCACCCCCCCCCTCCCCCTCGAATTGATTTTTCAATACAGACCCCCCCGCCCTTGGAATTGATTTTTCAATACAGCCCCGCCCCCCCCCCTCTAAATTCAATTCTCTCCTGAAGAACGTCTTCGTGAGCCTCTCATGATTTCAGGATAGTTGAAACCCTCTTGAACATTCAGAAAGAGTGCATATGAAATTCTAATCGCGAAAGGTGTTCCCCGAGGGGATACATACCTAGAGTTTGTTTTGTGAAGCACGTCAATTCTCTCCTGGGGAACGTCTTCGTGAGCCTCTTATGGTTTCAGGATAGTTCAAATCCTATGATGCTCCGATTCAATGCTCACCGATGATCTGAGCCATGGGGCAAGTTTGTTTTCCTCAGAATCTTTTTGAACATTTCGAGAGCATATGTTTGAACATTTCGAGTGCATATGAACATATATTTACGACAGGTCGCCTCCGAGGGGATAAATCACCATGTCGAACATTGCATTTTTGCTCCTGCCTCTCGCGTTCTTTTCTCTTCCCGCTGTCCTACCTTTCGTGTCTCCCTCCTCTCAAGTTTGTATACACCTAGCACTAGGACCCAGGATCCACTCTTCAATTGGGTCCTTTGTGCTCGCAATTTCTAGCCTGGTCTTCGTTCTTTTACTCTTTCGATGGAGCGAACATACAAACGAAGAGGTCAATGGTAAAGTTGTTGGACCAAGTTGAAATTGGAGCCAACGAGTGAAGGTACTAGAACTCACCAGGGTACAGCTGCTACTACTACTACTACTACTCCTACTACTCCTACTACTACTACCACTACCTACTACCTACTACCTACTACCGACTACCCACTACCGACTACCGACTACCTAGTACCTACTACCTACTACCTAGTACCTAGTACCTACTACCTGCTACCTGCTACCTGCTACCTACTACCTACCTCCTACTCCTACTCCTACTCCTACTCCTGCTACTGCTACTACTACTACTACTACTACTACTCCTACTCCTACTCCTACTCCTACTCCTACTCCTACTCCTACTCCCACTACTACCTCCAAGTGTTTGGGGCCGGAGTTATGGCATTCCTGGGAAAAGAGACTCCAAGAAGTGGTGCCATACGTAGGGGTCATTTTCGTCATCCTCGGTCGATTCCCTCCGTCCTTTTTTTCGGCAGCCCTTTCGCAGTCCTTTCGCCGCACTGTTCTGCAGGCACTGGAGAGACCTATGCCTTGAAGGGTCTCAGCAAGGTGCGATGAATCGATGTGATGAATCGATGTGCGCCAAGCCAAAGACCACGCGATTCGAAAGCGAAGCGATTCATTTTGTGTTTCAAATTCCTTTGGTGATCCACAAAGGTCATGGATAACGTGACAAAAGGGTGACAGCAACTGGCAGAATATGAGGAAAAAGGTTTCAAAATTCGAAACCTGCCCATCATCAGCACTGATCGAAGGCAACAGGAGGTGACAGGAACAACACGACATTTGTGTTTCCCAGTGATCAAAGTTTGCGTCTTATCTGGGAACACCTGATGTTGGTGTTGAAGCTTTTCGGAGTACCTCAATGTTCAGACGTGCCAAATCCGACAGTGAACCTTGATCGAAGTGGAATTGTATAGCAATCCGGCTTGTCGCTCTACTATGACCATATATTTTTGCTGGCGGTGAAAGTAGACTTGACGATGCTGCGATGCTTTGCAGGGCTACATTGTGAAGACGGGTATGCAAGACAGTGTCATGAATGAGAAGAACATCCTGATGATGACCAACTCCTCATTCATCACAAAACTGTGGGACTGGAAGTCTGGGCGGTTTTGGACGGTGAGTTTGAGTTGAAGACGTGTGTGTAGTTTCCGCTTCAAGGTGTTGAGGACCATCCAACTAGCAACAGATCGCATCCTGCATATGAGCATTGCGGCCAACTTGCCCAATTTTTTGCATGGTGCCCTAGGATGTTCCACCACTTGTCAAGCAAGAACATGTCATGTGAAGCATGGGTGCAAAGGGAAGGGGTATGACTTGTTACATGGCTGGTGGTGACAAATTAGAATGTGAGAGAGGTTTTGTGCTCTGATTTTTTGGTTTCTTTTGAATTCAACGGTGCTTCAGCAAACAAACCACAATCCGCATCACATTGGGTCGGCTTGTCCTCACAACGTCGTACATGTACTAGTGTTCCCAGAAAACGAAACACATGTTGATTCCAAGGTTTTTGTGCTTTGCTATCCAAGTTTTGGAGTTCTGAAAGCTTTACGTATCGGATTGTGGAAATGCTAAGTGAGCCTTCATACCAGCACGCTCAAGACATTGACTTGAGTGTTTTGTGTTGAATCGGTTGGGGGTTCCCACCGCTCCAGGAAACCTACAATGGCACTCAGACCCTGTACTTCCTCCTTGAACCTTGCTTGGGTGGAGAGCTGTATGCCACCTACAACAGGCCAAGCACACTTTTGCGACAGAGGATTGCAGCGGAGAAATCTCTTTTTGATCTTCCAGCGTATCTCGGTCTCAAAGGGGATAGTGCACAAGATCACATATTGATTGGCAGTGAACTCAGTTACTTACGATTGGCAGTGAAAGCTCGGGCTCTGGCGTGTAATGTCGGATCCGTGTTACTTGGAGCACTCGGAGTATCCAGCGGTTCCCTGTGCCAGGAAGGGCTTTCATGGCTCGGAAAAGCATTGCAGGTGCGAACATGGGGAGAAAATGAGCTTCCACTTTGTCTACCACCCTTGGACATGTGGGCTGGAAATTCGTACCTAAGCCTTAGTGGCTCCAGTCCTTGTCCATCCTCTGCCCAAACGACATGTTTTTCTTGGATAGACGGATGATATCGGATGATCCTTCCTTGATAAACGGTGTTTTCCTGTCGCCTGTCGCTCGCTCAGACTCAAGTCAGTCGGATTGAGAACTCTCCAGGTACTACGCTGGCGGCGTGGTCTTTGCTTTCGAACACCTGCACGCGCGGCGGATCATCTACAGGGTTCGAGACCCAAGAATGTCATAGATACTGTCATGTATTGTTTGCTATTGTTTGTTTGATGGGTCATTTTGTTTTCCTGGGATACAACGACAAGCTGCATCAAGTTCATCTTATATATATATATAACAATGTTCTCCTGCGTGACTGGAAAGAGCATGGAAGAGCCTTGATGTTGGTGGGCCGACCCCAACTGTGAGAACACCAGGAAGCAGCATGCATGAGAGTCATTCGCTGATCTGGATGAGCGGACAATGCTGCTGCTTATCCAAAGCTACAGGAACTTTTCATTGAGGGTTCTTCGATTCTCAAGGCTAAATAAACATCAATTTCAGTTGCAGGGTCTGCCAATGTGCCAGGATCTCAAGCCGGAGAACTTGCTTCTCACCGAAATTGGCCACATCAAGCTGACAGACATGGGCTTGGCCAAGCAGGGCAGCCCAGGTCCATCTTCCCAAAGGGGCGAGACGGCGAGCCCGGGCGAGCCACGGCCTGCCACATTTCAAACACTGGCAGCTAAATTGAACTGATCATCGACCATGACCCATACTTCATCCCCTTCTGGCTCAGGAAGTCAGGCTTTTGGTAGTGTGAAGTGTACTGCTGAGGTTTGTGATCGGCAAGACTTTTACCAGTTGTGGGCTGCACACTCAGATTGAACTGGCTTGATTCCGTTCATTGATGGTCTATTCTTCGACACGCCAAACTCCACCCAGTGAAAGGTAGATCATTGTGCCTACTTTCAATGAAGACAATTGGACAATTGTCAGAGAAGAATGCTCTGTGTTTGCGCCTGTGCGCGCGGGTGTGTGTGTGTGTATACATATATATATATATCTTGAGTGTGTGTGTGTCTCTCTCTCTCTCACACTGTGATCTGTGGGCATGTCTCAAAGTCACTCCGCAAAGAGCCATATTCAAAGAGGAAAGCTGAATAGGCCCATGAGTGGGAGAAAAAGTTCAGGAAGACCCTGAACCATGACATTCAGACGAGGACTCCGGATTACTTCGCACCTGAGCTCATTGCCTCCACGGGCCACACCAATGCAGTGGCTGCTTGGAGGGCAGATAGACGGATGCACCTCCATCGTTGTCACGAGTTCTTTGCGACGCGCAAGTCGTGTCAAAAGCACCATAGGAGCTACTAGTAGCTTCTTGTTATTAGTAGTAAGGCCAGGAGCTACTAGTAGCGTCCTTGCTCCTAGTAGCGATGCCCTTTGTTACTAGTAGCGATGCCCTTTGGAGATCGTTTTTTCTCCTTCAGGTGCTTTTGGTTCCTAAAAAGAACACCAAACACATCCAAACACCAAAAGGGAAATACTCAACCAACTCGCGAAATGACCCCAACAGAGTTGTGTTGGCCGTCTCAGGAAACATCCCAAAACTGAGAAAGACAAAACTGAGCCAAACATGATTGATATTTTGTCAGTAAATGTCAGTACACAGCTATTGTATTCGTTGCAGGCGACTGGCATTTTGAGCTCCCTGATCTTGATGCCAAGGATTGGTGGACCCTAGGCATCCTCATCTTCGAGCTCATGCCTGGTGGCCCAGCCTACAGACCTACGAATAATGAGCCACTTCAGCAGATTGGATCAGATGGCGAGTCATTCTTGTGGCAGCTTTCGTGCATTGAGGAATGGGCATCCTCCCTTCGAGAGTGCCTATCCCATGCAGATCTACGCGAAGGTCACCAAGGGTATTTCCAAGGCGCATGGGCGCAATTCGCCGAGCAGGAAGGTTCAATGTTGGGGACCAAGACCTTCAACCTTCACCCCAAGTGCTGCAAACATGCCAAAAAGAACGCATCTAGGAGCAAGGACGCTACTACGGGCTCCTGGCATCGCTACTAGCAACAAGAAGCTACTAGGGGCTCCTGGCCTTACTACTAGGAGCGATCGGACGCTACTAGTTTTGAACGCACGTTGGTTCGCACGGTCAACTGCACACGTCAGGTTCCACACAGTCGAGCTGTAACGACCAACTTGAAGCTTCCTGCTGCCAGGTGCCTTTCCCTTCGCAGTGTGCTGGACCATGCAAGAGCCTGATCGAGGCCAAAAGATGTGTTGTTGGGTTGAGTGCAGACACGTTCCAAGCTCTCGTTGCAATCAAATCAGCGTACAGCAAGATCTTGTGACCACCTACCCATTGGACTCGTTGGAGCACAACGAGACCAGCATAGCACCCTGCGAGTCAGTGTCTGCCAAAAGTGTCTCCATGTTCGTGCGCACCAGGGCCTGCTTCAGCAAGAGCCGAGTCAACGTTTGCCCATGAGGCTGAGAGGGCCGAAACGGGAGGAAAGCATGGTCTTTTTGCGCCGTCGGCGAGACATCCCTGGTTGTTCGGTCGTTCCAGTTGTTTTTTGAGGCCTGGAGGCATTAAGAACCTCATGAACCACAAGTGGCGAGAAGCTCGGGGGCAGGTGGAACGGAGTTGTGGCCACTGGAGTCTCTGGAACACTTCAAAGCCTACAGTAAAACCCGATGGCCTCCAACCTAAGAGCAATGGCCCTCCAACCTCACTGGGATTCACTTCGGGTGGCACGTACGCATGTTTTGATGGTCTAGTTCCGGTGGCGCCCCAAGGTTCTCAGACCTGGACTGGGAGAGCATGCGAAGTCTGGAGCTGCCAACTCCTTACAAACCGGTGGTGCTCCCGGCTGCTTTGGAGAGGTCACTGAGTCACTCCCGCGAAAGCGGGGGATTCTGGGTTCCATGGTTCTGCAGCTAACCGGCACAGCTGAGCCTCCCGGACATCCATGCAGTGTATGCAGGTTTGCTCACATACATGCAGGTTTGTGGGTCAGGCAGGAAAGATCTCGTATCTGGGTAATATATATATATATACATATATATATATATCATGATGTAACTACCCTACACATTTCGTTGATTTCCATTCTAGTTAGGCCACCGGAGTGAAGGTTCCCCAGCTTCGCGCCAGGTGAAGAACAAGCGAGACCTCGCCAACTTCAGTGCGCGCAAAGAAGATGCTCCAAGGTGAGAAGGGCAACCATCTAGTGTCATTGCTCGGGGATGCCAGGGGATGCCTTCTGGGACGCGGCAGGGGAAGCGAAAGAAGCATGTTTCATGGGTTTTGTCGGACACTTTCCGAGGACTGGCATGACGCTCTGCAACAAAAGAGCGTACGAAAGGTTCATCAATGCATGAGCACTGAACGATGCTTGCAGCTTTGCACCTTCAACATCCACAAAAGGTGTTTCTTGGTTGGCCCACAGTTCTGGCAACCCTTCTTTGTGGAGTCTTCGTGTCATTTTGTCCAACACGACACGGACGGTCCTCGCTTTCTGCAGGCAATTGGAGTACATCGACCCTGGCACTGCCTGGGACAAGCACTTTGCGACCTCAAGTTGAGCCGCCGGCCTCAAATATGCGACATCAACATTATCATATCGCAGCAAAGAAGCAAGTCACTCCGCTACACTAGTAGAGGTCAAACGTGGATAACGTTGAGTCAAATCTTGAGGTCGGTTTCTTTCGATTCAGCGCGAGGAGACTGCCGCGTCTAGTCAGTCGGGGCATACATACCCATGGACCAATGGACCCATGGAGGGAGCTTGCTTCGAGTCTGCATCCAAGGCCTGTACCACATGGCTTTTAACCTTTAGCGTGTGTCTCACTCTGAACGGACCACTCGAGCGTTGGTCGGCTCGCCTAATGGGCTAGCACCACTGCACAGGTAGATGACAAAGGTCATACCTGGTTCGTCTCACAGAATGCTGGAAAGCAGGCAAGTGAAGGGGTTCAGCACGCTTTTTGAGGCCAGAAACCGCCACGATGCGCTCTTGGGTCTCTTGAACTCATCCAAGCCTATGTGAGCTGGAACACGTTCAACATTTGAGGGTAGGCAGCTGATGGCTTCTTCAAGTCATTCCTTTGGCAAGTTGAAGCACATCTAGGCCCTAGGCAGAGTGTTGTTAGGCACCGAACACCTTCTGCGACCACAGTTTATGAGGTGTGCTGGCATCAGGTGTGCTGCGATTCTTTGACAATGGTTCCAGCTGTGCGGCGCATCCTTGATCAGAAGCTCGGTGAAGGGGGCGCTAACATAGTGCCTGCAGGTGCCATGTTTTTGGCCGTTCGCCCCGGCATTCGCGGTCTGCTACGAGGACCCCCTCAACAACCTAGAATTGATGGGTTTTAACTCTCTGATAAAGTCACAAAGTCCTACGAGTGTCAACTGCACTAATTACTTGATCAACGTTTGTGCGCCACAGCTGCAGTCGCTGCCTTCGTGTCGGCTACAGAGCTTTGGTCCAAAATCAGGACACTTCTTCGAGATTGTTTTGTGCTGTGACCTGTCATCATGCCAACACACACACACACAAACTCATGCGTGTAAAGAGGCATCCCATCAGCTTTCTATTATTGGCATGATTGTTCTATTGTAGAGGTAGACATTGTCTTGACAGCCTTTGTGGCTGCGATTCACCACACTGTCTAAAAGAACATGTTGTGGTCAGTTACCCTCTCTTTTCTGGAACGTCACCTTTAGTGCCCGGTAGGGACCCCAGCTTTGGTACCTATGTAAGCTTCTTTGTGAGGAACCAGAACCCTGCAACCGAGAGACGAAGGCAAAGGCTATGTTTCCAACTGGCATGGGGACCATGTTCGCTTGCCAATGAACCCAATATGCAAGCAGCCCCATTTTGTCGTGCCGGTCACGCAGCCGCGTTTCGTGGCATCGTGAGCTTAAGCGCGGCCGAAGCAACAAAACGTCGCCGCATCCATGTGGAGTTGCCCTCCAATTGGGAACATGCCTAGTTTAGCTGTTTGCAATTTCAGCCGCAGGGTATTTCAGATCATCAGAAAAGAACAGAGGTGCAGAGTGAGGGCCACGTTTCTTTGCGGGGATGCGAAGTAATGAATGTTTGATCTCCGGATGGATCCGCAAATTGTGGATGATCGGCGAGAGCGGAAAAGATGTCGAAAGATTGGAGTGGCTTGGTTTCGGAATTTCAATGGCTGAGCCAACAGAAAGAGCAGGAGACAATGAGATGAGTTGAGATCCACCTTTTAAATCAACTGTATTTGGTCAGGTCAAGGGATCCGGTCACCCAGTGTACTAGCAGTTACTAGCAAAGACTTTGAGGTGTAGCTAGCTTTGAAAGATATTGTTATATCTAGAAAGACGCACCCCCGGTTTCAAAAAGGGTCCGTGGATAGATCCCGCGGTGCCGCAGCCGTCTTCGGTCCGAGCGAAGCTGCCGTCGAACAGTTCGCCGTCTTAGTTGGCCAAGCGCGTCGCGATGTCGAAGTTTGTGGGCGTCCTCTCTGGAGCCAACCAGTATGGCAGGCACCGATGGTTTGGGGGAAGGAGAAAAGAGCTGAAGCCAGAACATCAACGCATAGAAGCAGAGGAACATTGAGGAACATCGAAGGTGGGGATTCTTGTGAGGAACCGTCTTTAAGCTGCTCATCCTTATATGGATTCTTCCAGCAAGAACAGTAGGGAGCCAGGAATTTCCTAGTTACAAACTCGAGAAAGTGCTGAACCAAGGGTACAATCATTGCACTATCCTCAGACTACCTCGGACTCTCTGTCCCTCTCCAACACTGCCTCTTGCAGGGTGGGTACTGGTTGCTTGGTTGCTTGGTTGCTTGGTTGCTTGGTTGCTTGGTTGCTTGGTTGCTTGGTTGCTTAGTTGGTTGGTTGGTTGGTTGGTTGGTTGAAATGAGACAAGCTAAGATCCCATACTGTTGATGGACAAAATCCTGCACCACTTTTGCGCACACTTTTCTTGCTGCCCTCGTTCTCCCTCGTTAACATTGGGGCCACCACAGTGAGAAAACAAAAACAAGTTGAAGGTCCAAAATCCTGCACCACCTCCTCAGAGGGGTCGCGCCAACATTGAATGAGGGGGCACGCGGGTTGCTATGCGACCCTTCCAGGGTAAAGTGGTGTGGTGGTGCAGGATTTTGTCCATCAACAGTACCATTCATTAAATGACAGAGAAACTTGCAGATTAGCTCCAAAAGGGAGCTACCAGATGCCAACAGTGGGAGGCCCACGGAGTCGGAGGACGTACTAAGGCGAACGAGCACCAGAGTCAGAGGAAGACCGGTGCCGCAAACGAATGTGAAGTCTGAGAATGGACCGGTGGAAGACCCTTTTCCTCTACAGTACAACCCAGTGGTTTCAGGGTTCCATGTTGATCTGCAAGGGAGTATCCAATAATTGCCAGTATTACTAGAAGAGTGGTCTTCACTCTGTGCGCTGCAAAAAGGGCAGGGGCCCGCCATCATCGATATGTCCACACGACGATCGCAACCTTTTGGTAAACGTGGTTGGTGGATTCCCTTGTTGACAAGGGCCGGGCCTACACAACAACAACAACAACAGCAGCAGCAGCAGCAGCAACAACCACAACAACCACAACAACCACAACAACCGCAACCACAACAACTTCTTCTTCTCACGCGCCCGGAGGGGTAGCGCAGCCGTTCATCAGTGCTCATGACTGACGGACTCCTCTAGGGAGTACATTTCGAAGGCAGCAGAGCCATCGCCAGAGTGTTTTCTCCAGGAGATGCTATCAAGCATTTAGGTGGGAGTGGCGGTGGTCAGAACCAGCCAGGGCAGTAATGCCAAGCCACTGCATCTACTGACTCATCATCTATTGAAAATCAAATCAACATGAATTGAATCAAATTGAAACGAAAAGAGATCAGGTCAAAAATTCGCTCAAAATTCAGCATAGCTGAGAGCATTCAGGACAATGACCATGTAAGGTCAACAAGATCTAAGGCAGGAGCTACCTCATCCCTCAGTCATCCGCAGGCGCTGCATCCGCACCGGAGAGCCGCTGCAGCGCACAGGTCTCAGGCGGCAGCAAGGCATCATTGATCCGTGCAAGGAGCAAGGCCAAGCGCTGCGCATCATCTGGAGGTTCATCATCATCAATTTGTGGCCAAGCGGCTGTGGTTTCAGTGGCAGTTTCCTGCTCCTCCTCAGGGAGATCCTGGAAGGTGCCAAGTGGCTCTGGAGTCAGGTCACCTGAAAGGATCCTGGATGGTCCAGGAACCAGGCCAAGGCGCTCATTCAGTGTAGGAAACGATGTATCCAAGGCACAATTGTTGGGACACAACCAAACCAGAACCAAGCGCTGCTTGGCCC